TTTAAATGTATTACATAAATTCATTTCATCCAGGTATCTGGGAAATGCATTCGTAAAGACTTTACTCCCTTACATCCAGAAATGTGTTCAGAAGTACTAGTATGGATCCTTCTACCGGTCCTTTCTATATACTTGCTACCACAGGTACATGTAAATCTATGGATGCGATTCGAGCTGACGTCGGAAGGATACTGATCTACCTTTGAATGGTACAACGAACACTTGGTGTTGTTTGATGAAATCGATTGTGCATCACAGAAGCTTCTTTTCAATGCCACGTTGATTCTCCTATACATTTTTCCTAAAATCTCATCTCCTTCAAAAGGAAGACGAATGAAAACTGGTTTTTACCAACAGTTGGTTTTTTATCATCATTAGGATATTCTTCTCCAAATCCCGCAATACATCTCTTTGAGTATTCATCTATTAGGTAGTATTTTTCTACAATAGCCAGTTACTCATTCATTTTATCACGTTGCCATAACAATCTAGCTCTACCGAATAGCCCTTTTACCAGAAATATTTTGTAGCTGTGTTGGGGATGTCAGTCCCCCAGAAATCATTTAGTGAACGTCTTGTCATTGACATTTTGTCTTTGAAGTTTTCACGCTAAACGCGCCCATTTTAATGTTCAGGTTGTATTTCCCACTTGGAAGAACCCTAAGTTTCACTGGTTTGTTGCCTTTTTTTAATACGCTATTTTGTGACGTTTCCAAATGACCTACTTATGCTGCATATATACGCTTGAGTTGTATGCTTGTTTTGTTTGTGCTTTCAGCTGCTTGAAGAATACACCTTTCCCTTTTCTAAACCTGGTCTTCTACCTCTAGTTAGCACATCTGGCGTGCATTGCAATAAATTAGATTGTCTTGTCGTTGTATTTCTGACCCTTCGTTCCGTTCGCCAATTAAGGTGATCTCGTAATCTCTTCAAACAGAGCAAGCTGGTAGGGAAAAAGGTGTTGCAGTTTAACTACTGTCCAGTTAACCTGTCTTTACACATACTTATCTCAAGACTTCCGTCGTTTTTCTTTCTTGCACTAAGATCTATAAATAAATTGCATCAGTTATCGCTTTCACATTCCTTTGTAAACGTTATGCTGCTGAATCGACTGATAACCGATAGGCGTTCTCAATATCATCACAGATAATGGACGTATAATTGATTTATCTAGAAGAGAATGTTATGTTGTGGTTTCCGTATTTTAGTTTTGTTTGCTCTAGGCTAGTTATAAAGACTGTTTTTGATTGTTGAAGTAGAATCTTCCTTCAATTTGCCAGCCTGGAATCATGATGTATTGTTAAGAAGCTGGAACATTTCATTCACATAATCTATTTGATTCATTATTACAACACCGAAACCTTCGTCTGGTCTTATAATAATTATTTTATTATTGTTTGTAAATTCCTCGATGTTGACAATATATTACTTCGTCAAAAGTTTTGAACGTAGAGTTGTAGAGATATAGTGTTGAGTTGCAATATCAATCATTTTGGATTTGACACAAACTTTTCTATTTCATTCATTTTTGTATTGATTGCTTGAATCTTCCCATTGCATTTGATCAGTCTCTTATTGGTATATGTGCATCCTTTACGGATCGTCTCGATATTGCCCTCAGTAGCAAGCATTATAAACTGAGATGATGGTAGCTATCAGTGGAATCCAGAACGCGTGTTTCGTATTATTTGAGACTCGTTAGCTAAATGCGCCTGCATATGAGTTGGTGTTCACTCCGAGATTCGAACCCAGTATCGATCGCCTCAAAGGCCATCAAATTATCCACTTAGCTACTGAGTCCTGATAACCACTACCTTGTGTAATGGGGTGAAGTTCAATTCATTTTTGTATTGGTTTCTTGAATATTTCCATTGATGTTTAGGACTGCAATTGATAAGTCTCTTATTGGCATATCAAATCTAGGATGCCGAAACATCCAGCTGACGAGTCCCAAATAGGACGAAGTGCACGTCCAGGCTTCCACTGCCAGCTACCATCATCTCAACTTTTTTATTTTAGTCTATAGGTTCTAGGTGATAAACCTGTCTGTACAGCATTTCAAATTGCATCTTTGCATTAGTTTTGTTGAGATTTTTATATAAATAATTATAATAAATTCAAGAGAGCGAGAGCGTCTTTCTCAACTTCGTTTAGTTTTATACTGGACAAATCATGAATATATTTTTTCGTCATGTTCAGGAAATTCTTCATAGATTGTTTTTTTTAATTAAGGGTTTCATGAATTGAAGTGTGTTAAAACATGTGTTCATAATTATATTATTAATTGTAATTTTAGGTCGTATGCAGGTGATGGGAAAATTTCACGAAACAGAATGGATTCAATTTATTCCCAAAACCTTGTTTTCCTTGCCCTGTTTAGTTGGTTCGATGTTGAACCTATGTGCTCTATAAAAATCATTCATTTGCCTCTTTTGTGATTTTTGACTAACTCTCAAATAAACGTCTGTTTTATGACGAAAATGATCTGAATCGTCAAATAAAAGACTCATACCTCATTGCAATCTTAAACGGATATCTGTTCAAATGAATCTATTTCACTATCATCAACTCTGTTAATCGAATAAATCAGTTAGATAAGTCATAAAAGCCGAAAAATAAATACATTTACATGTAAAAGGAATCTGAGCGGCGTCAGATTTTTTTTAATTAAGAGTTTTTGAAGCTAGACCATCATAGAAAACCCGGGAGCACTGGACGACCGTTTCGTCCTAGTATGGGACTCCTCAGCAGTGCGCATCCACGACCTCGCACCCCGCGGGATTCGAACCCAGGACTTACTGGTCTCGCGCGCCAGCACTTAACCATTGGACCACTGAGCCGGCATCTAACGTTATTAATGTCTAACTTCAACCAATCCACGAATTTGCGCCACCGTATACGATTGTCTTCAGTGAGTTGATATCTCACAACAGACCTGGTTGAACTCCACAAGTCACGTATTCCCACTAGAACTCCAGGAGTATCTCTTGAAGTCAGTTACTAGTGAGCAGATGATTATTATCAGAAGGGGTTTGTGGAGATTTTAGAAATTTTACTGGTTGAAATCATGAGTCAGTTGAAGCTCGACCACCATGGAAAACCTGGAAGCACTGATATACGGTGGCGCAAATTCGTGGATTGGTTGAAGTTAGACATTAATAACGTTAGATGCCGGCTCAGTGGTCCAATGGTTAAGTGCTGGCGCGCGAGACCAGTAGGTCCTGGGTTCGAATCCCGCGGGGTGCGAGGTCGTGGATGCGCACTGCTGAGGAGTCCCATACTAGGACGAAACGGTCGTCCAGTGCTCCCGGGTTTTCTATGATGGTCTAGCTTCAACTAACTCATGATTTCAATCTGTGAAATTTCTAAAATCTCCACAAACCCCTTCTGATAGTTTTTGAAACATCAGTCTCAATGTAGAAAAACAGATATATCTTGAAATACACTATACCTGTTACTAACAACAAGTCAACTCAATACAGGGACTTACGTGTAAATAGTTACCATTATCTTCTTACTTATATAAGTTAGTTGCTCACATTATTATTACCACTATTATTATTATTATTATTATTATTATTATTATTATTATTATTATTATTGTTTTACCTCATTATTTATTCATTGTTTTTAAAACACTTCCAATCTTAAGGATAATGATAATAAGTTAAATCATGTAGGTGATTATCATAAACTAGAAGCTTTAAATCAAGTATAATTCCAATAAAAAATTTCGTTGAACATTTGATCATCTTCAAATTATTGCATGTAAAACATTCCAATAGAAATATATGACCTAATTTAAACTTATCACATGATTTCACCATATGATCTAGAACAGTTCTTTAATTTTGATCATTTTTCTTGTCGACTAAGACCAATCAAAATTATCATGATGAAAGTGTCCAAATTCTATTTTAAACAAATTCTTTTGTATTCTCATTCTTAAAATATATCTATGTTTTTCGAGGTCAAAAAGAACTTGTTTAAAAAGCATATATACATGAAACATTGACTGATGGAGTATTGTACTGATTGCTTGAGTCTTCCTATTGGATTTGATCAGTCTCTCATTGGCATATATGCATCCTGTACGGATTGTCTCGATATTGCCTTCAGTTACAAGCATCATAAACTGAAATGATGGTGATTGTCAATGGAATCCAGAATATTGTAATATTAATATTATTAATGTCTTTTTTTTCTCATCCGATGTGACGAAAACAAAGTCATTCATTTATAGAAAATTATGATATAAAATTAGATGCACGTTTACATGATTCTGTGGAGAAATAACCTAAATAGTAGGTAAGATATTCGGTTCTCAACTATATGACTATATGATCAAACGATCTCTATGACTTTTGATGTTGGGAACTAAGTGGTACCATGATAGTCATCATCTTCAGTACAATAATACTAATTATCATTGTGTATAGTTCAGTTTATCTAAGTTTTTTATTTTCAAAACAACATTAAAGTAATCCACCTACTCCTATGTTTATTAATATCTTGTAAGACTGAATTTTGTATTTTGAAAGATTGACTAACTGCGGTCATAAACTATTGATTCATAGTTGGACTACATAAAATAGATAGGAAAAAAATCTATACTTCACAGATGACTTTCGATTTTTACCAAGAATTTTTATCAAATACACGGTGTTGGTCATTATCGACACTGTATAGAATTAAAATGGTAACTGCTAAATGTTTCGACAATAATGTTAGCACATTTCACAGGCTGTTTGGAATACAGTAAAACACTTTTCTTTTAATTGAGATCATGAACCAATTGATGTTAGAACACCATTGAAAACCTGGGAGCACTTTTCTTTTAATTCATTATGAGTAATACATATTCTCATACAACCTGGATCAGTTTCACAGGTCATATCTTTTTATGAGCAATTTTTGAACACTCATCTCTTATGAACATTAGTATTCTATTCAATAGGATTAAAATCAAACAGATTTTTAATTATAAATATTCAACTTACGTATTGCTTAGCTCAACCATCAAAGATGCATTGCCCAATAGTTCGCGAGAAACTAATCGAGCAGATGGTTTAGGATATCCAAAATATAATTTTGTAGAAGACCATCCAATTGGCGTATTCATACCATTTTCATATTTTGGTGGTAATAAACGTCTGAATGGTACCAATGCGGCACCCCACCTAGGGTGATTTAAATTATTACATGTACCATCAATTGAACGATAGCGTAAATGAAAACATAATTGTCTTGAACATGGATCTACTTGTTGAGCACTTTGACAGCCTGATAATTGAGCTATTATAGCCAATTGATCTGTATTCAGTTCAACACCTAATGTATCACGTGAATTTGGATCAATCTCATCATAATCTTTAAATTCATCCGGCATTGTATCAGTTTTGTTAAATTCAAAATGTTTTTGATTTCTTTGACGTAAGATGCTGGTCACTTCATCGATTGCTGCCTCATAAACTTCAGCTGCTTTAGCTAATTCAAGTGCTGCACGGTTTGGTTGTCGAAATAATGAAGCAATATCTGCAGACGATCTTCTCCGACCTGTATCTCTTAAACGATCAGCTGTTTTGCGAATAGCTGTTTCAATACGTTTACGTGCTTTTTCTATTATTTCTTTGACAAGATCATCACCATCATTGGGTTTAGAATTTGATGAATTATGATTTATATCTTCATTTTCCATTGTCCCATCATAAGTTTCAGAACCGGATGATACATGATGAGCACCATCAGACAGAACACGAATTACTGTAGAAACACGTGCTGAACCTAACCTGTTTGCTACATAACATATATATCTACCATGTGCATCTTCGGTGGTCACATTTCGAACTAATAATACACTCATTGTTTCTGTTTTCTCATTTTCAGCTAGAATATATTGGTCTGTTGAATAAATACTCAAATTATTTTGAAATTGGAATTGTAATGAATCTATTTCTGTGCTATGACTACGTACAATATATCGACCACCTGTAACTAGCTGTAATGGTAAACTGTCCTTTTGCCATACCCATGATATATAAGGTTTTGGTAAACCTTTCGCTGTACAACGTAAATCCATAACTGAATGTTCTGCTACAGAGTTATCATCAGCTGGTGGAGCTTCAATTATTGTCGGTTTTGTTGGTTGGATTAGTTGAAGAATACCTTCTGATGTAACAACACCATATGAGTTAGATAATACACAGGTATAACTGCCCTCATGATAATCATGAGCCTCGGTAATTTCTAGAATCTATGAAATGACAAAAGAAACAGATTGAAATGAAATCGTCTATTTAACTGAACTTCAGTTTTATTTTGAATAGAAATTCACAAGTAACTAAAACTAATTACTGACTAAACATACAATTCTATCGACTAGTATATATATATATATATATATATATATATTATTAATGGCTTTATTCAATATTATATTTTGGCACAATATAGAATTCTCAGCACAGAGTATTTCAACAAGTTTCTTACACACAAAAAACAAAGACGAAAAAAAATGAAAAAAAGGTTTTAAAAAAAATCTGAGGAACTGTATAACTTTTCAAATTAGAGACATGTTAAGAATGCAGGTTATCGACTAGGTTAACTCTAACAACCTGTTCGTCTCAGAGTATATTCGCTAGGTAATGTATTATAGAACATTTATGACTTTGCTTGTGTGCATGGATTTTAATGTATTTACGTCTTGTTCTACCAGAAGGTACACAAGGAGAATGATACAAATGAAAGCAATGTTTAGTATCTGATAAGATAACATCTGCCAGGAGTTTGCATGACTTTAGATGTCTATTCACAACCATGTTAATTATGACCTCGAAAGATTCACCACACACCTTGCGAACTGCCTTCAGCATTCTTCGCAATACAGCAAAGTCTTTTCTCAAAAGGCCGGGAAAGGATAATGGAGAACAGTAAAGAATAATAGGTAATATGCAATAATTGACAAATTGTAAGAATAAATGACGAGTAATCCCAAGAGCATGCAATCTCTTTATGTAGTAAGTCAGACGGAAGACCTTCTTCGATAACAATGTATATATATATATATATATATATATATATATATATATATATATATAGATCAGCCAACTTTAAATCGTTAGTAAAGAAAATATAAATCATTTTGATTACTGAAATACGAACAGTCATCGTCAGTGTTAATTGTAGCTATTGGTTTTCTTAAAATAAAATCTCTTTCTCAACGTATATTCATCAGATATTCAAATGATTTAGGTACAGACTACTTGTAGTTGAAATTGTTTTTCGAATTATTACATCAAATGTGACTAGAAGTATCGACAAACTGTGAGTAGAAGTTGTAGGATACACAGAAAACGCTATGCCGAAAATGGACACTGAAAATGACTTCATTATAATTTTTTGTACTTTTCTATTGTTTGTTTTCAGAGTTTACTATAGTTTTGTTGATAAGTAGGTAACTTGATATTAACCAGGACTTGATAAAGTTACTTGATAGCTGACAGTAGAATTCAAGATCACTATTCTGTATTATTTAGAACTATAAGTATTTGGTTTATTAGTCTCGGTTAATATCAAGTTACCTGCTTAATAATGGGACTATAATAAAACCGATATATTTGTAACAATGTAAACAGTTGATAAATCATAAATAGGACATGATGTTTACTAATAAACACCATCAAATATATTGATTAAAATTTGGAGAAACATATCACTGAACAATTTAAAGAACAAACTTAAACCTATGAGCAAAAATGAATAGTGGCTAGCAGTAAAATCCAGGAAGCACGTTTCGTCCTATTTGGGACTCGTCAGCTGGAGGCACCTGCATCTCAGAGTTGACGTTCACTTTGGGACTCGAACCCAGTACCACTCGCTTCAAACGCCATCGCTTTATTCACTCAGCTACTGAGTCCTAATAGACACTTGCTTGTGCAGTGGGGTGAATTTAAATTCAATTGATATTGTTTTTGCTTGTCACTATCCATCTTTGCTCATAAAAGCTTGTGCATTAAGGTAATATCGAGGTAAACGCACAGCATGCACATGTGCCAATAACTGACTGATCGATTGCAGTCCTAAACCTCAATGGGAGGATACAAGCAAAATCAATACCAAGTTAAACCTAAACCTAATTTGGATGCTCAAATTACTATTCACAGACTGATAATGTGTCAGTTACTAATCATTTTATCAGCATCTTGCCAAATAACCATAACTTTTGCATACACTTAACCCAAAAACTACAAATAGTAAATATTAATGGCAACACTACACCAATACAAATCATAATAAGGGAGAAAACAAAAAGTCTATGAGTTAGATTCAGATTCATGAGTTAATATATGACTGGATAACGAAGGTTTTGACTCATTTAATATCACACTGAATCATACTTGCCAATAAATTGTTTTCATTTTTTTCAGACCTTATCCCTGAATAAAACCTACTATGATGGGTGACATTTATTCTTACTTAAAGCAGGAATAGCAACTAAATACGTAACAAATTTCAAATTTATAGTTTACATAAATAAATGATCACATGTCAAAACAATAACTCAAACACTCATCCAACTTTTGTCACTTGATGTTTCGCCACATCAGTGATTATCTCAATAGCATATCTTAATTATATCTACTAATATTTAAACACTATTTTGTTTCATCAGTGATCCTACATTAAGAAACTAATTTTATCTGATTGGAAATTTACTAAGGAGCTTACCAAGTAAAATACCTTATTATTCAGATAACTTTTGTTTTAATAAATGGTAATTTCTAATTTGTTTTATCTTTTGGCATTTATCGGTCAATTTTATTTGAACATACAAATTGTTGTCGTTTTCTACGGGATGAAATTGTTTAGCCTATACACAACTCTCTTCCTTTATCCAGGCTTGCGATCGGCAGTAACTCTATACAGTATTATTATTGTTCGAGTGAGATTAAAAACAGTTCAGTGAAGTAAACTTTCTTTTAGTGACCATGACTTATTAAAGCTGTATGGTTCGAATTCAAATGAATATACACATTTACAGCAAACTAATTTAAACAAATAGTTTATCATTAATAAATTATTCAAGAAAGTAAGATTACTGTAAAGTCTAATCGATCAAAGTAAGGATACTTTTTTAGTGGATTTCAAAGCATTACTCCACCTTTTTTATCCAAACAAGAAAGCAAATCGATAGGAAACTGAATACTTTAACATCTCGTCAACTACGATGAAATATATTCAATATAGTCGTTGCTTAGATGAAATTAGAAACTAGAACAAATAGTTTAGAATTTTCATTCTGATTAATGAAACCCGACCCAAAGTCTTAGCTCAGAAACAATATATGTCAAGTCTTCATGATGTAATCTCCAACTCAGATTTTAAATTTAGCCATAAAACTTGGTTTAATTGATTTAAATCTGCATGATCCCAGAATTTGCCATCATTAATTATGATAATGTTATAACATACTTCAAGTAAAATTACTAGTTGCATTATAAAAATATAATTTTATCTGTAAAAAAGACTTTTACTTACTTGTCGTCTTCTATAGAGTCTTATATAACGTGTAGCTTTAACAGGTAAAATCCATGTGATTTGACTAGAAACACCTGATTCCCCTCTACATATAAATCTGGCTACTTCACCAGCCACTACTTTAACATTTTGCAGTTGAACAACTATAGTTGGTGCTTTATTCTCAGGATTATCTGGATTGTTTTGCTCGGGATTATTATTAATAAGATCATTTGAAGTTGGATCATTTGTTTCGTAATTACTATCTGATACAGTCAGTAATTGAGGTGTCTTTCCACCAAAATCTTGTCTTGGACAATGTGGCCATGGCCAATGACCATATAATTGTTGATAAGGTTCTGAATAAAGTACCTTATTTCTGTCTGGATTACTTATTGCTTGATAGCCTAGTAAACGTGTTTGATTTACTAGAGTACGAAGGCGACCAGCTAAATCTGATAGTCTAATATTGCGTACTTGTGGTGGACTATGACAAGTGACTCTTGATGATTTTGATTCCACGTACATAAGCGATAATGAAAAATCAACTAATTCACAAGGACAATGAATTGGATTATTACCAAGTGATAAACGCTTTAGATAAATTAAACCTTCCACTGAAAATGGTATATGTTTTAGCTGATTGTTTGACAAGTCTAATTCTTCTAATGTATACACTGGTGTAAATACATCTTGTGGTAAATAAGCCAGACGATTTGAACGTAACACTAAAACTTTAAGCATTGGCATACCAATAAATGCTTCAACTGATATCCATACAATTTGATTTGAATATAATTCTAAACGTAACAAATCTAAATGTCCTTCAAATGATGCTTTCTCTAAACGCATAATTGAATTTTCTACAATTGTTAAATATTCAAGAACTCCACCATCTGAACTAGGTACAATAGTTGGTAATCGTGGCATAGTTCGAAAACCAACATTTTGACAACGTATTGTTTGTCCCATACATGAACATCTTTTAGGACATTCATCACTTGTAATCAACTTGAATTGAATTAATAATAGAATAGAATAATAGAATATGATAAAAAACATTGTTAAATTTCTTTGATTGATTCTAGAATGTATAATCATCAACTGAATGTTACATAGAATAATAAAAATGAAATATTTTCAATCCATTGTCCGGTTCCATATATATATATATATATATATATATATATATATATATATATATATATATATATATATATATATATATATATATGGATAGATAGATAGATAGATATTCCTCATGTAAATGTGTATTTTGTTTAAAACAATTATCACATAGATTTGTTTATAATTCATTCAATAATGAAATCCAGTTTCATATTATAAATGAACTAATAGTTATGAGATATTTCAATTATGAAATTAATGTGAATAGATTTTACTATAAAATACACATAATTCGAAAGTATTAAAAGTATCAATTGTATATTCATTTAATTTTATTCATCTATGAATGTTTGTTTTGTTATTATTGTTGTCGCTGTTGTTGTTGTCGTCGCTGTTCGTGGTGGTGGTGGTGGTGGTGTTGGTGTTGTGGTTGATGTTGGTGGTGGTATTGGTGTTGTTGTTGTTGTTGTTGTTGTGAGATACATTAATGAGTAATATGTTTTTAAGTGTTTTTCATGAAACTTTTCTAAAATGATTTAATTCCTATTAAATAATTAAGGTCAAATTGGTATATTATAATAACTATGGATTAATTAATAAGTTAATTATTATAATAATGAATAATATTTCATACAAATTGAATTAATTAATTAATTAATATTAATGAACAAAATTGTAATTTAGAATGTTGGTTCAGTGATGAATGAACTCGATTTTCAAATGTTAAGTAGTAAGTTTGAATCTTGTTACACTTACTACTTTCTGGACAGCTGGATAACATCAATACTTAACATATGAACACTGAAACTCATAGTCAAATCTATGAATATATAATTAGTAAATATGTTGTATCAACAACTTACAGATTAAATATAAAGTTTTTTTTGTTTATTTGAAGTTATTTGCCAAACTCTGTGTTATATCCCGATGAGAATAATGAATGGTAACTTTTGGGATCCATTTATGAATCAATATTATACGTATATTTGTTAAGTAAATAAACTGTTCATATCCGTGTTCCCCTTATCATAAAATTTATTTTGACCTATGGACTATAATTATACTATTTACAATTCTTGAGTTATGCCCAGTCTATTAATTACCACCTCCCACATTCACAGACACATTTGGCTAAATCTTGTACAAATGTTGTTTCATATTTTATGGTACAATGTGGTCTGTTTGTTTCGTATATAAACTCAGTATGTTTAAAATAAATGATTCATATTGCAGATTTTGAGATTGGTGTTTTGAACTTAATTGTCTGGGATAGGCGGGAAGAAGGACCGATATGAACTGTAGACTGCTCGTACTTGTTTTATGCGTCATTGGTCCGGTCGATAATTCAATGTTCTCCAATTGGAGGTATCATTACGTTTTGCATTATTAGGACAAAGGCCACAAGTTACAACAGTCTCAGTAATGGTTTTTAAGAAATGAAAGCAGTTTTAAAGATTTATGGTTCAATATATTTTTTTAATGATTGTAAGGGGTTTTCGGTAATTGTTAAATATCATATTTTACATCATGTAAAGACATTATTTATACAACCACTGAAAATCAGGTTGCACTAGACAGATGCCTCGTTTTAGTATGGGACTCTTCAGCAGTGAACATTCATGACCTCGTCGTAGATCGACCTCTAAATATTCCGGTCCCACGGGAACCACTTAAATTTTAGGCCACTGAGTGTGCACCTACTGGTTTAAGTGCTTAAATTCAATAAATTCGCGATAGTGGACAATCATCGTTCAGTGTCATTGGTGGGTAACTGACTTATACTGAACATGATCGAATTTCACTGCCCACGGTTTTTCAGTAGTACTCCGGAAATCATCTTCAAATCAGTCAATGATTATCAAATGATTTTTTAGCACAAAGGAACTCATGAAGTTTGCTGAAGTTCATAATTTAAATCACCAACTGATCTTAGCTATCACGAGTAATATTGGTAAATATCTACCTAGTAACTAGTGTTAAAAATATGATAGAGATTATAGTTCATTTTATACTTTGTTGTATTAATCTTTAATGACAAATACGAAACATAGAAAGTGTATTTTCAACAAACACTGCGAGACTTGTGATATTCATAGAATCAATTTAGTCTAGTGTAGAACAATATTCCACCAATACAGATCAGAATCATGATATATCAGAAATTTACTGAAGTTGAAAATATGTATCATCTGGTTTGAAATCAACAGCATTGTATTATCGTACTCATCACAAAATCTAAGCTCATGTTGAATTTATTGTCCTTGTGAAATTTTTAGTATATCGTAACTACAAGTAATCTGGAGTAAAACAAATCCAAGCCAACTAGTTCTTTTCTGTCTTCAATGCTTTTTCAATTTATGTAAATCTATGTTTGACTACCAACAACCTGAAAGGATTGCTTAGGACAGAGTAGAATGGAGAATGCTGGTGGGTGGCCTATGCTCCTGCATGTGGGGTAACAAGTATAAGTAAGTCACTATGTTTAACCATTCAGTCTGTACAATACCTTTAAAATAACAATCTTGATTTAGCCGTTTATAAATAGTTTATTCAGTTTATTCATTTTCTTCCAAATGGATTGAATCAATCAAAACTTTTGTATGATAAATTGTCATATTTACAAACTATACCTTTTATATAATAACCATTTCTATTTTGCTTATTTACCAAAAACTCTTATTTGACTATTTCAATGTATTAATTTTTGCTGACAATAGATCAAAATAGATAATCCATTTCTGATTCTGTTTAATTATTTATACACATGGAGAGTATTTAGCCATATACATATTAATAATTGTTTCATTAAGAACAAAAACGATGATTTGATAAAGGAATTTTTTGGCGGCCTACTTGAATATTTGGACTACCTATTCCTACCATTTCAATAAGTTATATGTTTTCATTTGTTTTAACACATTCTTATGTCTATTTGTCGCATAACCTATTCAGGCACATTTATAAAACGTTTATGACTTTTCTCTGTACAGGTGACAAGAAAAGTACAATTGGAGACATCGTGGTTACTAATAATATAAAGCGAAAAGAATATACATTATTCAGATGTTAATTCCTGAACTGCTATTATCTAACTAGCGATTGCTGTATTAATTTATCATCAGGATCGATCAATTGATAAGAAAAGTAAACTTGTTGAAATACTTTATGCTGACAATTCTATATTGTACCAAAAATATAATACTGAATAAAACCATTAATAATAATACGTTGTTTTCGGTGGATTTTTGTCCTCTGAGCTGGATGGTTTGGTCGTGTTTTGACAGATTGATCACGCAGTTGTTTGTGTTTTCTTCCATTGGTGGTTTTAAGATCTTGATTAGTTTTTTCTTTAAGGTGTTTCTTCTTTGTTCTCCGTGTCGTTTGCATGATATCTCGATGGCTGTTGTCAAGATTGCCGAATGTTCTGACGTGAGTGTTCTTTGTAGCGTCATCTTTTGATCCTCTATGACGTGTTGGTATTTGCGGATCCTGTAGTGTGCATCCGTTATCATTAGGTGTACCATTTTTCTTCCACTTTGCTCAGCTATTTTCCATCCTAACGGGCAGTTGATTGGAGGTCTATATTTTACACTTGTTGGTAGAACATACTGGCAAAGACACTCATGGAGAAAATATAGTTGTTCTCGAGTAGAAGCCTGTCTTTTGGCGAAATTCTTCCATTTTCGAACAACGAGAAGCTCCACCATTTCAATAATATGTTGTTTTTGCAAATAAGAATGAAATTAAATAACAAACATCAAGATGTAACTACATGCTTGATAAATATTATATGAAGGTGATAATTTATTGATTTTATTGTTGGAAATTCTCATAGATCTACTTGACCTATAATTTGTTTTAAGTTTAATCTTATGAGACAAGGTTTTTCAAATATCTGTAGCCAGGGATTAAGGAGAAAAATTTTGGAATTTTGAATTTCTTAGAATCAATATTGATTTTCTTTTCTCCAATATACTTTTTCTTCACAATAATTCTATTCTCATAATCTTTTTTATATTTTCATTCTCTTTATAAGCATTACAGTTTACATATGTATACAATTTTATGTGTAATTCCATATTATCCCATCTGAATGTTTGACAATACACATGACAACTCACTATAGATTAATATTATAGAGAATTTTAATAATAATAATAGTTCGTATTAACTTATGCAAATATAATGTTATATCAAATAATGTTCTCTTAAAATAGCTGTTAGTTGATTTACGAGTAAACCGTAGTCATTATTATTATTATTATTATTATAAAAAGCTTTATTCAACATTATACTTTTGGTACAATATAGAATTCTCAGCATAAAGTATTTCAACAAGTTTCTTTTTCTTATATCTTGATCGATTGTGACGATAAATTTCGGATGATGACCAGTTAGATGTTAGGAATTCGGTAATCCACATTTGATTAATGTTCATTCGTTTCATTGCATATTGCCAGCCACCATGATGTCGCTGATTGTACCTTTCTGTATCCCGTATAGCAAAAGGTTGTAAACTTTTCATAAACGCGCCCGAATAGATTGTGAGCACAATAGACATATTGATATGCTAAAACAAACAACAAAACAGATAACTTGAAGAAATATCTAGATCGAAGGAACAGGTAGCCCAGATATTCAAGCAGACCGCCGGATCAATCATTTGATAATGCCCCTTTCAATGTTCCATGAACAACTGAAATCTCATGGATTGTTCTTGAAACGCAACTTTAATTTAACAGCTTAACGGTAAATAATACTAGTTTATAAAGAAATATACTGTAGGTGATTTATAGAAGTTATCCATAGGTAGAACAGTTAAGTTGAAGTACATTCTAATTAATTTCTTTTTTTGTTCATTATATACCTTTTCCCATCATTCTTCATGTAACCAGTTGATGCAATAAATTCCATAATATATTAAAGTTCATCATAACTTATCAATAGAATATTTACCTTGATATAATGATATAAAACACTCATTAACACAGTTCTCGTATACCTCTTTCACTAATAAAAACGAACT